TATTGGATGTTTTCAATTCTGATTTGAATTTGCGGCGAACTATCTACTCGAAACCGACTTTCACATGTTGATTTTATACCCTATCAAAAAAAAGTTATATTAAAAAGTACACTGAAAAATTATAAATTAAACATTTGTAGGATTTAATTTTTGAAGAAAAATTTTAAAACGTATGACAGCTAAATTTTATCATTTATGTATTTTTTTTAAAAATACAAAAATTTAATCGACATGAAAAAAATTCAATAATCTAGAACGCAGTTATCTAGAAAAACTTTTATTTTGGTGAAAAAATCATGTTTCTACGGATTTATTTTATAGGTAGCTGTTTTATACTAGGTACCTACATTTTTTTTTTTAAATATTAACAATTTAATTAATTTAATAGTATACAATATTCTAGACTTATGGTTCTCAACCGGTGTGCCACAAGAAATGCCTAATATTTGTAATTATGCTGGTAAAATAAGGGGAAAACAGTACCTACTTTATTTCATTACATTTATGTTGAGTGTGCCACAAAAACATGTGAAAATATAGTGTGCCGTGAACTAAAAAAACTTGAGAACCACTGTGACCTATTCTGACAAGCCATCTCCGCTCAAAATCGTTTTTCGTRTACAGTCAAATTATATCATTTAATTTAAATTTAATACCATCCATTATAATAACCCACTTGTAACCTACTGTAGGTACAGTACAGCGATATTTTTTGTTTGTTTTTACCATTGCTTTTTAAAACAACTGGGAATTTAAAATTTTGACCTCCTCCAACGCTTCAACTAGATTCACTTTCCAACCGGAAATGCTACTGAAGTTGAAAATTTAAGCATTATTTCGACAACATACCGTGTACACACACACACGACACACAAATTAAAATTAAAAAACACAACATTTTAAGATCTAATATATTCATTAAATTATATTATTAGGTATGTATATTATGTGTAAAAATATATTTAAAATGAAGAATAAATATATTCGTTNCTTATAAAAAGCACGATTTAACTAAAACTTTAAACCTATTTGTGCCAAATATTTATACCAATTACATCAATTAAAAATAAATAGTTCAAAAATATACCCCGTACAAAAATTTTCACTTCACATTTATATAGTTAGATTTTTATGATTTAATGTTATCATTAGTAAACAGTATWTTGTTGAAAATAAATAATAGATCAACAAACATTTTACTGACTGTGCAAGCATATTGTTTTCGTAGGTAATGGAAATTCATGGGGCCCTAAACGAAGCCAACGATCGGATCGACTTAAAACGAGTGGACGTACAAGTCACCTATGTCGAGAAACCGAATGCCGCGGAAAGGAAACGGATGGAAGTAGAAGCTGCTGAGATAGCACTGGCCGATCCAGACGAGGATCCAGACTGGGTTGAAATGCGACGCAAAATGAGAGGCTCGTTTGCAGCATTAAATCTGGCCCGGTGTGATGTCAGCGCCGAACTCCTAGACCACATCATGATTGAGCTGTGTAAGTATTGGGCCAATGCTCCAGAAATAGAGCATGTGATCGATCCGCTACTTGAGCGGAACATCATGCGTGAGATACAAAATTTCCGGTACAAACTTTTCAACGTAGCCGTTGAGATTGAACCGCAGCTCGAACAGTCATCCTCAGAAACGGAGGAACCAGAACAGTGCTACATTCGACCACGGTCATCATCACTGCCACCACCACCCCCACCATCATCACCCGTGATCTGTAAGAAACCRAAACCTAGAACAGCAAGCTGTCGCATTCGTAGACCGGCAACCAATAAGTTGGCAGAGGCTAGGGCTCGACAAAACGCTGCCCGGGCGCAGAATCGTGAAAGTGCGTCCATGGGTCAATGACGTGACCGTAKGTAGTCCTAGATCGACAGATTTTTTTAAATGTTGAATTTTACTCTGGAATCGAGCACTGTAGCAATATATAATTTAACTACTAAATTTTATAAAATATTACGTATTTTTCTCGTTGAGTGTCGAGTATTTGGTGAAACGGATTTAGGGAATGTTGTAGGCTTWATCTACATACACATTTGTTGTCTTCGTCTTACAAATGCGCGCCATAGCGAATTTACACTTAGCAGATCACGCTTAGTTCCGATAATTTAAAAATTAGAGTAAATTGGCCTATTACGAAACTTAATGGTAAGGA